GAGACAAGGTCAAAAGTTTCCTAGATGGCAAACCAACCAACACCTTTATACAGTTTTATCCTCAAAAAATATACATTAACGTAATATTTAAAGTGACGAGGCCATGTGATGAGGCCATATGAGTCTAACAGGGGGAATGTCAAATTACCTTTTCCCAGAGACACCTACTCACTAATTTAATCTGCAGCTAAAAGCTAAAGCAGTAGCAGATTATCAGTCCTGAATAATGAGATGTGATTGTTCTGCCAAAAAAGAAGAAAACTGACAGAAGAAACTATGACCAAATTGCCACAATTTAAAAACCCAGATTTACCATCTAAACCTGGCAAATATTTGTTCCTCATTTGCCAATGATAAATAGGACAAATAGTGCAGTAATCACATTTTCCCGCTGAAGAACAGATCTTGATAAATAGATGAGAATGACATTTATAAACAGTGCAAATGGGTCAGAAAAAACACATGGTAAAAATCTAGCGAATAGATGACAGAGAATGCTTTTAGAAATATACCCCATAATTGGCTAACTGATAAAATGGTCAGTATAACCCTTTAACTGTTTACCTAATACACAGTAAAGTAAAATAATTGAGTCAGCAAGAACCACACACCTTAGGTACATTTTTTGTATGCCTCATGCTAACATCCACCGCTTCCAACCCTTCCTGGGCACATTCACTCTGTTGTATATAATGGATCTGCACAGAAAAATCCAAAAATCATGGGATTTCATAAGTGGTGTCTATAATTAAAACAAATGAGAACCTGTGATTTTTTGGCTCCAAGATTAACCTTTCTCAAGCCAGAGCTGTAACCACAGTTCTGGATTCAGAAAGGGTCATGATGGGCCCAAAATGTTGCTGAGATACTCAGAACAGCTTTGATTTTGGACACTAAAGAATGTTAACTACAAGTCCTCTGTATGGATTTTGTATACGCAATACAGTAAAGTACAATAAGACCTGCATGAACTTTATTCATAATAACACAATGTTCCACCAAAAAAATAGGTTTTCTGTCTTAACTAGTTTTGCCCAGGTCTCATATTCTGGAAAATAGTCTCATCTGTACAGTACAGCTACTAGGGATAAGGTTCGGGGTTGTCATATATTCAGTGAGTTAAATGTAGGTGTCCCAATTAAATAATGTGGAAATTTGCCTAAACAAATTCTTTGTAAGCATAATTCTTTACCTAATCTTTCAACTGTGGTCATTAGGGCTAAAATGGGCAATAATGGGGGATTTTTTATATGCAAGCCGCCTCACCATAAAAGGCCCCTTCACCTTGGAAAGATCACACATGTACCTTATCTGGCACATGTCCTCAACCAGGTAGTACAGTGGTTCATCATGAATCACCCTGGCTTCCAGGGTCCTTTGTCAGGTCAGAAGGGTTTGTGGCCACTTTAGCCCATCATGGATTACCTCACAGAAATGCAACATTACCATCAGTCACCTGCCAAGTGCCTCATCTGTGACACTTTCACACACTCAACATGGCCATGCTGCAGAGGCTGCATCAGGAGAAGCATGTCATCACTGAGTATCAGTGCAATTATGGTACAAGGACAGGCTCTGGGGAGCTGGGGTTGTTTGTCCGCATCAGTGGCTCATCATTCAGGATGCATACAGCATTTTGGCACCTTTTGAAGAGGCAACCAAAATGGTAAGCTGCAACAAGGCCTGGAGCGCACACTCTATGGCCTGATAGACTGGGCACTGTAAGCACCAGCTGGAGGAAGAGGAGAAGTAATAGCTGCTGTCTTAGGTAGCAGGATCATTTGCATGCTGCCTCTATCCCTCTGAGGCAGAGGAAGCAGGTCGAGTCCAGGGCTGATGTGGACACATTCATATGTGACATGGACATTTGGGCGTCCAGACTGGACCATTGCAGATTCTGTCTTGCCATTAAGCCAGTGTGCTGTCTGAGAGGGCATTCAGTGTAGCAGGAAGGTTTTGTTTTTACAGAGAGGCAAATCCACTTGTCCCCTGACAGTGTAGACTAGCTTACTTTCTTTAAACTGAACACCACAAAACCCCTGCTGCTGATTCTACGTAATACACATTTAAGCGTCAATTTCCCCCAGAAACAAATATATGCCACCAATACAAGCTCCTGCCACCTCTCCTGGCCTATTCTAGTGCTCTAGCACTGTAAAGGTGCTGTGCAATGTTTCCGCAGATGGACCTGCCAAATTTATAATGCTTGCTGTAGAGTAAATCTCGCTTTGTTTTCAGCCTATTCCAGTACCCAAGTAATGTCTTTCCACAGCAGGACATTTACAGGTTCTCTGCTATTGAAAAAATTTCTTGCTATTTTGTCTCAGATAATACAATCTAATGACCATGTCAAACCTTTTAAAAATAAAACCTGCCTTTTTTTGTAATTCTTATTTTGCAGCCTAACAAAGCTGCTTATATACTGTCCAGCCACTGAACAATATTTGTAGCACTTGTCTCTCAAATTATACATTTTATTGTTAATTTCAATATAAAACCTGCCTCATCGCTCCTGTTTACATTGCAGCCTTATCAAGCTGCTTACATACTGCCCAGCCTCTGAAAAATCATACCTAAACACATACCTAAAGACTATATTTTGAATTATTTGGGAATAATTTAGGAGAGGGATTAGAGTAGGTTTGGGGAATGTGGGGTTGTGGCTTTAAAGTGTGCAAAATTTGGGTTGGATAAACATCAAACCAGATTCAACAAACCTTTGGCGAAAAAAACCTGGGCACATTCCCCTTCACTAACAGCTACCAAGTTACTACTGAATGATACTGATGGAAAGTCATAGTAGTAACTGTCCTGTGGGATTCTGGAAGATTGCCACAGTCCAGTTTCCATGTTGTCTTTGTTATTTAATTAATGTAATAGGAACGTCTGCAATAGCCACAGTAATTGCTATTGAATTATTGAAAATAGTAGCCAGTCTAAATGTGGAGCTGGATTGTGGGACACTGTTGGAATCCCATTATCCAGATATAACTTACTATGACTTCTTTTTACAAATAAAACATTGACAGAAGTTTGGGGGGGTTTGCAATTAAGTGAATAAATCAGTATTGGGCATGAAGTTAAGATGGCCCAGGAGATCCCCATTACCAGCTTGGCCCAGGAGAAGGGTTATAAAATTTTGCCCCATTGGTACTGCTGCCCAAGCCTCCTATATAGAATATTTATTTCCAGATCCTGGTCCTGCTGGTGCTGTCTCACTGAAATGGGTTCTCATCTTTACATGTGGTGGGGCTGCTTGCGTATATTCCCCTTTTTGTCTCTCATCTTTGAAGTTTACGACCAGGTGGTTGCCCCCCCTCTGAGTCTCTCACCTAAGATAGCTCTTATTTTCATACTGCCTGGTTCTGTTCCCAAGGCAAGAAGGATCTGTTTTGGTACTTTGTGGCTGCAGCACAGGTACTGATTCCTCATCATTGGAACTCTCAGGTTGTTACTACTATCCAGGAATGGATAGCTAAAATATGCTCTGTAATGAGCTTAGAGGAGCAGACGGCTCATATTCATGATCAACAACCACAGTGCGCTGACCTGTTGGTGCCTTGGATTTTGTATATGGGATCTGCTGCATTTCAAGCCTTGTGAGCGTGCCATCCCTTTTATTTGTCTATGGGTTCCTGCACTTGTGCCACCCTTTGATTCATTGCTTCCAGAGATGTGAGCTATGTACTTGCCGGTTGACCGAATGGGGTACTTCTTTCTTCTTTTTTCACCCCTTTTTCACCTCTTTCATTTCCTTCTTTCTTCCCTTCTCACCTCTGTCTCCTCTCTCTACAGTTGCTTTGTCTCCCACTGTACTCTTTTTTTCCTTTTTCACATAAGGTATATGCCCTTTTTTGTGTCATAAATGCGGATGGTTTGACAGCATCCTTTAGGAATGCTATTACTAGATGGCCATCTCTTGATGGATGTTATCCCAGCTGCAATTTTTCTTGCATCTTTCTTTTATTGATATCCTTGAAGTTGTACTTACAGATGCCATGCCTTTGTTCTGGGAAATTGCAGATTGGTATATTGGGCATTATCCTTATGCCTGCTTTGTTTCTTTGAAATGGTTAATAAAATCAAATTATTTAAAAAAAATGTCCCAGAATATATAGAGCTTTTGTGTTAAAACTAGTATTTGTTTTTGTGCGTTATTATGTTTTTTTCTGTGTGTTTGTGTTACCTTTACAAGATCACCAAGTATGAGTAACAACCTATCTGACAAACGTTTAAAAAAACTGCAATCTTTACAATGTTCAATGTGTAGTTGTGTTCAAAACTATACACATTGAACATTGTAAAGATTGCAGTTTTTTACATGAACATCTATCGTTATATTTATCAGTTTTTCAGTCTATAATAGTGCATTAGTGCAGTCTATCAGTCTATAATAGTGCATTATATTTTGCTTATCTATAATCATTAGCAATGTATTTAGTATTAGCCATATTGGCTTGCTATGATGATTGAAAATTGATCCACATCTTCAGGGCCAGTTGCTAAAATATTCATGTTAACCCATATAAGGCTCCATTCACACCTGAGCGGCTGTCCGCGTGTATTCGGCTGAACGGATGCGCGCTGAGCCACTCTAAATAGGGAATTCAAAGCGCTTCAATGTGCATTGTTCACAACATTGAGGGGGCACACAGTAAGAAACTGTGCGGCCCCCGAAATAGTGCAAGCGCGATAATCTGGTGGATTCCGCACACTCAAGGCTATTTAATAGCCGCAAACGAGCGGCACCTGTGCGGATTTCAAAATATTAGCATTTTTATCCCGCACATGCGGGAACCGAAAATGCTATGTGTCAATGCAGCCTAAAGCTGACTGATTCTGAGGGTTGAACAAGGAATAGTTATTACTATGCTCCTCTATTTTACGGTCTGTGTAAATATATTTTAAGTTGAAATAATTCAGAAATGATTTGCATGTTTTGTATTTTGTTTATCAGCAATTTTTAACTTGATGTATTTTCTTTTGCAGATGGGTTTGATCTAAAATCAAGCTGGTAATAAAGGTGGCGCACCAGACCTGGTACTCTCATGGCTTCTGGGGTCGCAGCATGGCTGCCCTTTGCAAGGGCAGCTGCCATCGGGTGGATGCCAGTGGCCAATTGTCCTATGCCACTAGCACCAGCTGACAAAAACAAAAAGCAAGATGAGCTAATTATTCTCAACGTTAGTGGGCGCCGATTCCAGACTTGGCGAACTACCTTGGAAAGATACCCAGATACCCTACTTGGAAGCACAGAGAAGGACTTCTTCTTTAATGAAGAGGCTAAGGAGTACTTTTTTGATCGTGATCCTGAAGTGTTCAGGTGTATTTTAAATTTTTACAGGACTGGCAAGCTCCACTACCCTAGATATGAATGCATCTCTGCCTATGATGAAGAACTGTCTTTCTATGGGATATTACCTGAAATCATAGGTGACTGTTGCTATGAAGAATATAAAGACAGAAAAAGAGAAAATGCTGAGAGGCTACAGGATGACATTGAATTTGAGAAAAGCAAAGAAGCCATGCCCTCCCTAAACGCACGCCAGACTATGTGGCGAGCCTTTGAAAACCCCCACACCAGCACTTTAGCCTTAGTCTTCTACTATGTGACTGGCTTCTTTATTGCAGTGTCTGTGATCACCAATGTGGTGGAGACTGTTCCTTGTGGCACTGTGCCTGGAAATAAGGAGCTTCCTTGTGGTGAAAGGTTTCATGTAGCCTTCTTTTGCCTGGACACTGCCTGTGTCATGATTTTCACAGTTGAGTACCTCTTGAGATTTTTTGCAGCCCCAAGTCGCTACAGGTTCATGAGAAGTGTCATGAGTATCATTGATGTAGTAGCCATCATGCCATACTACATAGGCTTGGTGATGACCAACAATGAGGATGTGAGTGGCGCCTTTGTCACCCTGCGGGTTTTCCGGGTCTTCAGGATTTTCAAATTCTCACGCCATTCACAGGGTTTGCGGATTCTTGGGTATACCCTGAAGAGCTGTGCCTCTGAACTGGGATTTCTCCTTTTCTCACTGACAATGGCAATCATTATCTTTGCCACTGTGATGTTTTATGCTGAAAAAGGTTCATCATCCAGCAAGTTCACTAGCATTCCTGCTTCATTTTGGTATACTATTGTTACCATGACAACTCTTGGGTAAGTGTTCTACTTATTATATTCGCTCAACACAGAATATGTGCATCGCTACAGCCTTGGAACCCTTCATTTATTTCCTTCAGGTAGATTACCATTCTTGTACAATGACATTTAATGACACTCCCTTGGGATTTTAAATGCATTTTCCTTTTCGCTAAGCTGCTTACACAGACACGCAAAATCAATTAGAGGAGATAGGACTGAAGTAAAACAACAGATTATAATTATGCTTTTCTTTGTATGTGCTTTGCATCTACCTGCTTTTTGATTAGCTAGCTGTTGATGAGATGAAGGTGACTTTTATATTAAGTCTGGGGAGTCAGGGAGGTTTGTGTATACATTAAACACTATGTCATTAATTTGAAGCAGAGGAACAACCTGTGTGATAAAGATTATCCCATTAGCCTTATATGCACAGACATTAAAATGGAACAGGAAAATGCAGCTTTACCGTCTGTTCCTGTGATGGGGGCTGTCTGTTGCTATGAATAATCCTTTTTATGTACAAGATATGGTCTTAAATCCCTTGATTTCTGTTTACATTTTCTGTCCTGCCCTTCTCTACAGTATTGCATCCTAGCAGCATCACTGGTACACATGAGTAGCTCAAGGATATTTGATCCTATTTTCAAGGATCAAGCATTAGTTTATACTGGGGTGTTCTCAAAATAAAAGGAAATAAAACATATATATGTACACTTGAAATGCCTTCAGCGGGTAAAGACACAAGTGTATGCAAGGAGGGCACTCAAAGTTACATCCTGCTGTTGGTATAAAAGAATTCCAAATGTAAATGTTGAGGCTTTCACATGACATTTGCTACATAGCCAACGTATTAGGGAACAGGATACACAGTTCAGCTCATCAAGAATTTCAACTAGGATAATGTTTTACTTTGAGGACAGCTGTGCTAAATATATAATTCTTATCCTGTCCTAAAACTTCAGTATAGATGCTGAGTCTTTGATGTAGACAAAGGAATTAGTCCCTTGATAAGATGGAGTGACACTCTGTATTAGTGCCTAAAATAGTACCCTACCTGTGCTTTACTGATTAGCATCAAACAGTAGACAAGAATATTTATTTTAATGACATTCAAGCATACCCAGCACAAAACGAATAATAAATTCTTGCTTATTCTCAACAGTATCAATTACAACAAGTGTATAATACGGACAATACATGTAAACCAAAGCGAGTGCTGAACAGCATCCCCTGAAGTTCCCACGGACTTTCTGAAAGTCTGTATTTGCATAAACGCATCCCCATATGAAAAAGCTTGAGGTTAGTGATAAGTCAGTGAAGCACAGAGCACTGTTCTGTGGTATGCAGGGATAGGTATGCCTAGTGTCTCAATGCCAGGACTGTTCTACACTAAAGGTATGTTCTGATGATTTATAGTGCCTGTTGAACAGCAGTAACTTTACATGTATTGTGTTTGTACTTTAGCTTTTTTAAATAACGGTCTTCCTTCTGGACACCATCCTAACATAGGTGTTTGGGTTTTTTTTTGTTCATGGTCATGAAAGGGCAGAAGAAACAGTAGTGCCTTGCTAGCACAACGTGGGGTTGATTTACTAGAGGTAAATAGGCTGTTCACTTTGCAAGGGAATTTTCACTGTGCAAGGGAATTTTCCACTAGGTTAGCGATTGTGGTGAAGATTTACTTTTCAAAGAATATCTATTCACCTGCAAGGAAAAGATAAAATATTTTTTTTTTAGGGCTGTGGAAATTAAAGATTAATTTCTCGATTAATCGTTAAACTTTTTGAACGATTAAAATTATTTTGATCGCTAATGAAAACACTCACCTCTCCGCCGGCTTCCCGGGAGTCCCGTCGGCGATCCAGTGACGTCACGGACATCAATGTCACTGGACTCCTCCCCCCTTCCCCAAGTGGCTCCGTCGGCTAACCAAGGGAAGGGGGAGAAGTCCGGTGACGTCAATGTCCATGACGGCTAACCAAGGGAAGGGGGGAGGAGTCCGGTGACGTCAATGTCCATGACGGCTAATGAAGGGAAGGGGGGAGGAGTCCGGTAACGGCGATGTCCGTGACGTCACCTGACTCCTGCCCCTTCGTTAGCCAATGGAGCCACTTGGGCCGGTGAGTTTGCCCAAGAAACTTTCTGCACGAGCGCCAGCCAAGGCATTGGCCTATACACATACAGCACAGCAATTAAGTAATAAAATGAACTAGGATCACACTAATCCAGCACGTTATTAATTTGAGTTGCCCCACTCAAGCGGCGGCCATATTGAGTGGGGCACGTGAAATTAATAACGTGCTGGATTAGTGTGATCCTAGTTCATTTTGTTACTTCATTGATGTGCTGTATGTGTATAGGCCAATGTAGTTGGATCTGTATGTGCATTATAATTAATCGAAATTAATCGATTAATCGATTTTAAAAAATTCGATTAATCGAACACGAAAATGTTAATCATTACCAGCCCTAGTTTTTTTTTGCTTGCATATGATTGGAAATCCACAAAGCTTCCCCTCATTCACTAATCTAAGGAAAAATCATGAATATTTATTTGCAAAGTGAACAGCCTGTTTTCCTTTAGTAAATCAATCCCCTTTTCTTAACTTCTGGATGCAGGTTATCTCATATATCGGCCTACAATTTGTGATGGTGATAAAGATCTGGTAAGCCTTCCCGCCCATCTGTAACTGAACTCCTCACCCCTACCTGGCATTTGTTACAGTCAGGTTTTTATCATAGCATTCCCCTATTCTTCTCAGCTCATTGAGAGCATGACATTTCTATTGTATACTTGTTTATGACTTCTACTGTGGCTTTCTCTCTGCTTGCTGCAAATGGAAACCATCTACTTTATTGTGTTAATTTACACTTCCTATTTTATTCATGTTTAAATATAGCTGCTGTAGGTCTGGTTGGAGGACTAGATTGTTCAGCATGAAGAATATGTCCAGTGAGTTTACTTTGGGAGGCTTAGATGCTCACACATATGGGACTAAATGCTACTTATTTCTCACAGCATGCATATGGATGGAATGAAAGAGAGCACAAATCACTGGTTAAAACTGCAGAAGTTATACCTAAAGGAATTTATGTTTTCACCAAGGCCTTTTAAATCTCCACTGGAATCTAGTAAATCTTAAGCACTGCACTGCCTTAAATGGAGGAGTGTTTTCTTTAACAACATAAAAGTTAGCAGGTTGTCACTTTTGTATTGAAGAAGCTAGATGTCTGGGTTGTATCTTTCCTGCTGTCAGCGTGTTTTCTGTATAACTGCTTTAAGTAAATTGTGAATTATGTTGAATGCTAAGAACAGTTATGTTACAAAACTGATTTGGAACTAAAAACACAAGTTTTTTCCATGAATGTGTAATTTCATAACAAGAAAAATTATTTGCTAAGAACTAAAAATAAATAAGGGGTTACATTATTCAGGCTTACAAATTCAGCACCTTCTAGAACAAAAGAATAATGCATGCAAGCCCTAAATATTTACTAAAGTAACAGAAGCAGAAACAGAATGGGGCCCTAGACAAGGTAGCAGCTTCGCCCCATCCCATTGATTGATATTGATAAGTGTAGGCACAGAGAAGCTGGCCCATCTGCATTGTCTGTACAGGCATGCCCCATCTCATCAGACACAAACTGGCCACAAGCGCATGTTCCCCTTTGCTGTGATGGAAAGGTGCACATCTTTGACTAATTGCGCTATCCCACTGGTTTTCAGGAGAAGCATGAAGTTGTCCCTTCCTGAATGTCCAACAGGCCCTAAGCTCCTGCCTAGGTTGCCTTGTGGATTGTCTATTTCTGCCCAGAAGGTAACAGCTTGGGCACAATTCAGCCTGGCAGGTACAGGCTTCCCTGTGCCTTGTTGCCCTTTTAGTAGTTTAACCACTGTCCACACATAGAGGATCACATGTACTAGCCTTGCTATGTGTACATAGTATTATCTAGACATACTCGGAGAATATATCTGCTAACCTTTGTAGGTTAAATGCTCATTAGCATTTTTTTACATTTACATTGCTTGTTTCTTCACAGCTACTGAAAGCTACATCATGGATAGAAGATTGCTTCTATACCTCTTTATAAGTATATTTTAATACTTTAGTTGAAAAGTTAAAAGTCGAAAGACAAAGTCATTACTCATCTGCAAACATTTTTTTAATTGATTATTTGGTTCAAAGTCAGATTTTGGAATTTTACAGTTTAATCAATGTAGTTCAAGCTATAGCTTACATTAGGATACTTGTATTATTACTTTTGTAAATAGGATATTGGGCATATTGCCAACATTTTCCTCAAAAACGTGTAGATGGAAAGAAACAGAACAATAAATGTTGTTATGTGACATATTTGTGCTCATTTCTCATATGCTTTCTTACCTTCGGTGAAAAGTATTTAGATGACTGATAAGATTTGTTTAGGTACAGTACAGGATGTTGGCTTTCAATTTTCAATGTTATAAATTGATTTGGTTTTTGTATTTTTTTTTTTTATTGCTATGCACTTTGTCCATAGCCATTTAACAGTGAAATCTCTCTCCAACCGGGAACATAACATATACAGTATGTAATACAGAATTTTAAACAAACTAAAATGTTAGTAAATGTTTTTTTTTAATCTTTATTATTGTCTAAATTTGGCATTTAGATTCAAGAAGGTTGTAAATAGCTGAACCAGCACCACAGGTTGTAAAAGGGATGATAAAGGTCTCTGAACTGATTTACTGTTTAACAATTTTGATAAATACATTTACTATATTCTTCTGACCTGCCTTTCTAAACGTGTGCTCAGGGCACCTTAAAGTCTCACCCTTTTCACAGTTTAAAAGTCCTAGATTTCCTGTATCCTCAAAAGGATGTGACACTTTCTGCAAGCAGATGGAGATAATGACAGAGCCAAGAAGTGCATGTCAGAAGACTTTAGTAAGTGTAAGATCCTATTTTAGAAAATGGTAACACTACAAATCAGTACTGCAGTAATTGCAATGAAAAATGTAAAGCCTTCTATAT